AGTTTGGTTGGTGTCTACAGTGTACTAGAGAACATGATTTCTTTCCTCCTCGATACTTTCATGTCCTCTCGTTACATTTTGCTTTTAAAATGGCTCAACCTCAAGAAGGTGACAAGTTAATGCGACGTTGTACATTTTGGAAGAATGGACTTTATTGGTTCAATGGTCATGGTGTATGATACACTGGTAGAGATTGTGGATGAGAGCCAGTGTGTACTAGTAATGATGTCCTGTGAGAAAGGTTACAGTGACAATATGGTGTCTCTAAGAAGAGATGTAATAGGAGAGGTGATGAGTGTTTATAAAGAATCCTGTCCCAGTCTAGAAGTAGAAGAGTTAGTTATTGATCCTAAAGAACTAGCCTATCCTGTGAATACACCAAGAGAAAGGACAGTGTATAGTGTAAAAGATATACTGTCTGCTATTGACAAGAGAGAAGAGTTTTTAGTAAAGTGTGATGGTACTAAAGGTGAAAAGGTGAAGGAGATCCTAGCTGATGAATCATTATCAGATATTAGTAACCTGTCACTATTAGGAGGACGTGATATTAAGGTAAGAATTAAGACACACAAACTGTTTGATACATTAATACAAGCACTAATATCAAAAGGTCATATCTTTAAAAAGTAATCCTATTTCTTATAAATTACTCAGTCTTTGTCATAATTGTGGGTTGTCATTGTGTGGCTTTTACTACTAATAATATATACTTGTGCATCTGTTAAATTCACCTTTCAGCAATACACTACTGATGTATATCACCTTGATAAACAAGCACAGTGACAAATATCATTATTATTGTTATTATTGTATAGGAAGTAATTGAAAAATTCAACACACCATTGGCTACAGGTATGTGATAATATGTACAGTACAGTATCACAATTAAGGAGTAGTGGGAGTTTACTATATAATGGTGATTGGCTGTTTTTTCATACTTACACTATTATACATGTATAGAGCCAGCAAGTCAAAAGGTTAACTCAAATTGCTTATCCACACAGATCAGTGAGTACAATAATGATCAACAAAAAGGTATAACCACTCACTGTCACTAGTTTTACATTAAATTTTATTTCCTTTTATTTATTTATTTATTTATAGTTATATGGACTATCGAGAATCTGGTAGAGGTAAAACAAGTGTTAAAAGATAGTAACTTTCAAACTATCAAATGGTTTGATCTTGGTCTCCACTTGGGTCTGAGTTACGACGATTTAAAGACAATTGAGCATAATTATCCACGAGATGCAGAGCAGTGTCTCACAGAATGTTTAGCAAAATGGCTAAAGAAGGACAGTGAAGCAACAAGGAACAAACTAAGTATTGCTGCTGGTAAAGCTATTGACAAGAGAGAAGAGTTTGATCATTGATGGCACTAAAGGTGTACCTGCATGAATCATTATCTGATATTAGTAACCTGTCACTATTAGGAGGAAAGGTAACAGTTATCAGAAACACTCCTCATCATCATTATTTTACTATATTGTGTGTGTAGGGAGATGGAGGAGTAAAGTGTAATAATAATAAAGATAAAGGAACAACAACCAACACTTTGAATGAATCTCAGGAACATGGAAGTACTTCAATAGAGAAAGGACAGTCTGGTAAGATATGTACACATCATCCATTAACAAACATTATTATAATTATTGTACATTGAACTATACAAACATTATGTGTATGTATCAAGTATTATTGGTATTTAATATAATGTATAGATATTGATGTACTTAAGATCAATGATGAAGTACAAGAAACACTCACTGATAAACTGCTTGGTAAGACTAAGAGAGTATATAGTGTTATTATTATTATTATACACTCATGCAGATATTAGAGATCTTGCTACTGTTCTTCAAGAATTGACATCAAATCAACAGTTTGATTATACTGATTGGAAATTTTTGGGTCTCTACTTAGGATTATATGAACGTACAATAAAAGCAATTGAAGTAAACTGCAGAGGACAAGTGAAGGACTGTCTTATGGAGTGTATATCTTCCTGGCTAAAGGGAGAGGATGGAGTAAGAGAGACAAGAGGAGGTGGATCAAACTGGATATCATTAGTAGCAGCACTAGATGCAATGGGAGAGAGGGAGGTTGCTGACAACATTAGAATAAAGTATAACTTACATGTATAAACAGCTGGAGCCACTTGACGAACATCCATAACAATAAAGTTACAAACATTGATTGGTGTCAATAATGTGTTGAGTTTGATCTAAGAAATCATCTCAACTTTCAACAATTTACTCAATAACTTATTTTCATTTACTCTAATATCTATGCTAGGATTGTGTTTATAGTGTCTATGGTCTATCCAAGTCCATACACTTATCTTTACCAGTAGAATTTGCGTCCTAGCAAAATCTATCAAACTTGCATCTCTCAAATCAGTACTTGTTCTTATCAAAAGATGTGGACAAAATAATGATACTGAACAGCATTATAATTATTTAGGAGGTTGCTCTGCTAGCACTGCGGTGATGGTGTTAAAGGGTTGAGTTTGATTGAATGTTTGAAAATCAGTATTTTTAAGATTTATACTTCCTAATACATGTACATGTACATGTGCATGTACATTAAAACTTAAAAGGGACACACAAAAGAACAATTCAGCATTGTAGATCTAAACTAGCATAATAAATTCCACAAAATAAAAGTTAAAAGTCCACTCTCTTTCCTCCTCATAGTTCCCAATCCCACCCAACCATACAAGACTAGTTCTGTTGTTTCTCTTTCCATTCCTCTTCCAAAGCCCTTCCTCCTCCTCCTTGTCTTTCATTCATACTGTTAACAATAGCTAGCATTTGATCCATTGAACTACGTAGGTCCTTTACTTCCTGAGATAACGGTTTAGTGATGACTTTGATCTGATCCTCTACAGTTATCTGTAACTTAGATGATAAAAGAGGAGATTTGCTCTTTACTTACCTGAGGTTGATTTGTATAAGATCTTATAATGTTATTAATATAACTGCTCATTTGTCTCAAGACATTTTTTGAGTGGTTTGGATACACAATTTGTTTTGGTTTAACAATGAACCAACAATCTGGCATTGAACACTTAAGCATTTTTGCAAATGATCTCAGAAATACTTCAATATATAATACAAATTTAACCTATAAGCATTTGCATTGTAATCATCATACATTCCGCGTACCTTCAAAATTTGTGTGTAAGTATCAGCTGATTTTCGTATTTTTTGAGTGTCATCAACAGCTAAACTAATCTAAATGAGTTGGTCAGTGGATGGAGTTAATATAGTATGAATTAACATACCAATAGGTTAAGAAATAGAATCGGCATTAAAATCACAAACACGATTATTAATGAAAATGAAACAACCGGATACTGCACATCAGACAACCTCATTTGGTTATTCTGCCGCAATAATGAGTCCATTTCATACTCTCCCTCTGTCATTATTATTGTTTTAATAATTGTCCTCCATGGAGAAATAAATGGAGTACGCTATAAAGAGAGAGATATAAGGATATATTATTTTCAGGCTTACTATTCCTTCTGCTCTATCTTGAGGATCATAAAACACCATATAAAAAGGAATTGCAAAGGCTGAGATTAATAGTACGGCAAGGATGAGAACCATTATGAAGTTTTTGAAGATTCTAGCAAACATGACCACATATATTCCAACTATTGGTAGCTTCCTTATGGAGAATATCAGTGCAATCCAACTGAGGAATACAGCAATCACTCCAACCTGCCACTGCCATGGATGGGCGCAAAAGCACTGGTTACTACTGACAAATGTAAACACTATTGTCAAGATAAATAGTGGGACTTCAACATAGTTTACAAAACTGAATAAATACTGTAATCTGAACAATAACATTTGAAATACTTCCCGTATCATCATGATTACACAATAAACTATCAGGCATACACTGGCAAAAGATAAATATCCGTTACGCCCTTCTAAATTAGCAAAGTTATGTCATATAGTAGTCACATGAGTATGCACTTACCAGGAAAGCAATCAAATGTGACATTGTCATTTTCAGATACCTCCATACCTATTAAGGATAGCTATATGTATTAGTGAATAAATTATAGTAAATTACATATTTTTGAATTTGGTGAATGGAGAGTGAGAGCAAATGATGACAATAAAATGACAAACAGAAAATATACTATCAAATTGGAGTAATAGAATTTTTGCCCATATTTATTCCATTTTTGATCAAGGAGTGTACTGGCAAGTGGATGATTCAATAAGTCTGCACTTGGTGAATTAGCCTGAGAACAAAATAATAATAAAAATAAAAATAATTATAGTTGCACTTACAAGGATACTTAGACAATGATTTCGACTACAATATTTTGGTTTCTTAGTCCATTTTCTATCAAAGAAAGCAGTATCATATCAGCAAATAATAGACTAAATTGCTTCTACTTAATAACAATAGTCATCTATTATTCTTACTCATCAAAATCTTCAAGAAACTCATAATTATAAGTAATCCGATAATTATGATCATTCGGTGATACTTTACTTTGACAGCAGCGATCAAAAATGGCTTCAGCTACATCTAAAGTAGAATAAATAAAATGTCATTATTATATGATATGCAATACATTACATAAAAATTAATTTTATTAACCTGGCATCTTTTGAATTATCCTTCTCATTGGTGTTGTGAAATGCTTCCTTGCAACAGCATCTTTGATATCATCACTGCCATTAGAGGCATCATTTACTTTAAGATTGTTTCTCTTTCTTCTATTGCAACAAAATAATATCCTCTTATCTCCATTGCATTTTCCCAGACCAGTGAGATTTCGTAATGCATCCTCCCACTTCTCACCATTCACTATGGCCATTGCAGAATTTCTAAATCGAATAAATTACTTAATATGACCATACAAAACTTCAACGCATAGATCAAAGCAAGACTCTATAATTGTATTATTCTCACTTTTGTCCTTCCTCTACAGCAACATCAAGAGGATTAAGACCATCATTATCACGTTTCATAACATCAGCTTTATGCTCCAGAAGTAGTTTGACTATTTGTTCATGTCCTTTTCTGCAGGCAATATGAAGTGCAGTATGCTAGACAGTGATAACAATAATAATAACAAAGTTACTATTATGCTTCTTACTTTCTTTTCATCAGTACTACAGTGATTGATATCAATTCTATGATTCAGTAGCAGCCCAACTATATGTGCATGTCCTTTTATGCAGGCAATATGAAGTGCTGGGCCCTATATATACATGCAGTAGTTATAATCAATAAGATATAATAATAATTTTTTACTTTATAAGTATCATCAATGAGATGGATATCAGCTCCACGTTCCAGTAGTAGTTTAACCACTTGTGTATGTCCTTGTTCACAGGCAACATGAAAAGGTGTACGCTACATGATAATAATAATAATAATCTAATTGTAATGCTATGTCTTTACCTTATATGTATCAGTGTGATCAATATGACTATTAGATTCCAAAACTTTATTAAGTAAAACTTTCAAAATTATCACAAAACCTTTCTCAGCAGCAACATGTAGTGGAGTGAAACCAAGCTTAAATCTTTCATCGATGTTGTGGCAAGTGCTTTTCCTTTTACCGTGACATGATATTAAATCACAAGGATTAGCTTCACCCTTCTGTATTTCCTCTGGATCCAAGCTAAAACTTGCATCATAAGCTGAAATTCGAAAATCTTCCCCTGGTTTCATCAGGCATTGGTAAAGAGGATCCGTTTGACTAGAGATG